CCCCAAAACCCCAAAACCCCAAAACCCCAAAACCCCAGTTTGAATAATTTTTGTAGAAATTAGTATTTGTCAATGATAGATCTAATCTTATTTGCATTCAGGGCAAATTCTCTTTCCTCTAGCTCATCATTACTCTTAAATACTCTATCTTGTTGTATCTGGTCATCTAAGAGTTGCTTGACCATCTGAGTCTTTTGCTTTCTGATCATATTTTGCTTATTCTGAAATTGATTCATCTCATCCAAGTCCTTAGATATTATATGTTTTGAGATAAGTCTCTCTTTGCTCTTTGAAGCATGTTTTGCTGCTATTTTATCATTCATTTGATATCTTTGATACTTTTGGATTTCCATGAGCCTCTCTTTTCTTTCACGATCTCTTCTGTCATATTTCTCATTCTCCTTCTTTTGCCGTTCCAAAATTTTCTGAGAGACGTAGTCATAATGAAGTTTATCTGCCTGTTGGGAGGCTAAAGATAAGTTCGGGTTGTAGGAATGGTCTAAGTTCTGGAGAGGGTTCTTCACCTTTGTGAGCATGTTGTTCTTCTGGTCATGCTCTAGCTTAAGCAGCACATCATTCTCATATCTCATATTTTCAAGGTCTTGTCTCTTGATAATATGTTCATGCTCTTTATTTGCCTCTTTACGACTGTGAATGATATGGTCAAGTGAATCTTTGAAATTCTTCTGCCTTCTCCTGAAGTCTAGACTCCTAAATGGTAATTCTGAATGAGGTACATCATCGGGTTATGCTCCTGACTCTCCCTAACCATGCTCTTTGACTTGCTAAAGTCATGAGAGCTGTGGGTTTGAGGAATTCGCATTGAAGATTGAAGGAGGTATTTATCAGCATCTCTTTTATCCTCGATTTTCTTCATGTCTCTATCGATAGATCTTAGGTGCATATTTGCCTAAATTTTAGAGAAATGACCATACCTTTTGAAGATGGCCTCTTTCGAGTAATTTCATCTTGTCGAGCAACAGTTCGTTCTTAGAAGATCTGAGGTCGAATTTTGAGATATTATCCTTCACGTTTTTCTCCCGCATCTGGCCTTCAAGACAGGCTTTGAGATGGTTTTGGGCTCTACGCTTGGCTTCTTTCTTCTTTTCTACCTCTTTTTCGTGCTCTCTGACATCGTTCAGAGAGAGAAGGTCCCAGTAGGGGGATTTGTCCCCTGCATAAGATGAAGTAGTGCTCTGGTTGAACCCAGAAGAGACGGAGTCTTTTGGGCTCCTCCCTCCAGTCATATTATAGCTGTTCTTCAGCTGAATTATGTTCTTCTTGATTGGATCTTTCGAGCGGTCAAGGCTGATATTATTTCTTCCGAAAAATCTAGAGATATTAGTTTTTGTGGGGATACTTCTTATTTCATCTTAGGTTTCATCATGGAGCTATAAGGGGTTATAAAAAAGCCGTACTGCTGATTATCCTTGAAATCATACTCATTCCCATTCGATTTCTGGGTGCTAGTCTCTCTCTTTATCGGTGAAGAGTCTAGAGGGGATTTAAATTTAAGAAATTACCAATAGTTTGCTTGTTTTCCAGGGAAGATTTCCTGCTATTATTCAATCTTGCAGTCGTCTCTCGAATCGGGAGGGGGAGTTTCAAATCCTTCTTCTGGATATCAGGTAGGACAGAGCTCTTCTCTTTGAGAGAGTCCATTGTTTTATCTAGATTTGGGATATTATTTGATAATTTAAAGGTAGTTTTAGGGAAAATAAGCGTTATTTACTTTTAGCTGCCGCGAAGTTCTTCACGTCTGTGATGGTAGTATCTATGGAAATGGTATTTAACAAGTTCAAAAGCGGATACAGAGATCTAACCAAGCCATGGCTCTTACCTGGCGTTCTATTTATAGCTTTATCGATCTTCTTAGCGATCCTTTCCTTGTGTATTTCGTAGTGCTATAAAATTATTTTGAGACGTGTTTGAGCATACTTGTTTGTCAACCTTAAGTTTGTTGTGGCTCAAGGAGATTATATGTGCTTGTTAATTAGGTTCTCATTTCATGCACCGTACTGAGCCATTAACTCCTGCTTTATTTTTGAGATAAAGAAGTTGCTCTGGGCAGCTTTTGACTTTGGCATTTTATTATTGTTTTATGTCTAGCTTTTTATTTCTATTTCTACGACTTGTGTTGGGGTTTTGGGGTTTTGGGGTTTTGGGGGTTTGGGG